TTCTTTCTTAAATGATTCTATTTCTATTAAATAATTCTACACTTTGATTGGAATAAATCTAAATAACGTAAAGATTTAAATCAGGGAATTGCAGGCTGTCATAATAATAAACATGCGTTATATGAAGATGATAATAGCCCAAATTAATTTTCACCACAAAACTTCAAATTACAATTTAGCGTCCTGTGGTGCCAATTCGAATGTAATTTTAACTTATGAACTGAAAAAGAGACAAGTTTCACATTTATAATTTTCCCTAACCCTAATTTATGGGGAAAATTACTTTCAACCTGAATAAATATTTCTTTATTCATGTTATTTATTTGTTTAAATTGTGAGTGAAATGAAATGATGTGTGGTGGATCTTGATGGACTGAATTCAGATCTTTGGAGTTTGTAAGCTTGCTGATTTCTCACTTTTCTGTCTTTGCTGCGATTTTTTTTTTTAAACGCCGTTGTTTCACTCTTTTTGTTTTGGCACATGGGCAGTTCTCAGGTCAGCTAGCCTGAGCAGACACACATGATGTGAGTGTTTGCACTCTTCGCCTTCGCTCTGTGATCTGTGGACTGGCATCTGTGTGCTCCATAAACACCATTCATCTCTGTTGTGTTCGATGCAGACATTTACAGCATGTTTTGTGTTTATGCTCATGCTTTTTCTGTGGGAAAAAAAAAGAATGTTGATTGTTTTGTGTTTTTGCAAGAGGTTCTTTGGCTGCGATGTTGTTGCTATTACTGTTAAAAACATCCATTTATGAAACATTGAATATTTTGTTTGAACAGTCTCTGTTTAGCAACATGCATCTCTACTCTTTTAATTTAATATTTTAGGTTTTAATTAGGGCTGTCAACCAATTACAGTTTTTAATCTAATTAGTTACATGACGTGCCGATTAATGAATCGAATTAATCACATGTTATTCGCACATCCAAAAATCATTTAAAGTCATTGTTGTGTTAGATGAGAAAAGCCTTGAATAAACATTACAAAAAATTAGCTTTTGATTCAGCATTGCATAAATAATGATAATAATTCAGTATTGTTTTTTTTTAATTATAATATTAAAATTAAAAAAATTAAATGATTCAATAAATATGCTTTTTTTTTTAGCTTAAACGCCAGTAGGTGGCAGCAAGTCACTGTCTTAATGAGCGAGTCCATTCACTCAATCATTCAACTGATTTGTTAAAAAAAACAGATTAATTCTAGAATGATGAACGAGTCATTGAATCATTGGCTCACTTGATTCGTTCAGGATTCATTCAGTAACGAAACACTGCTGTCTACTGCTCTGTTTGGAAGTATGAAATTGAGCAAAACAGACAATATTGTATCAAAAATGAAACACTTTAACTTGTTTATTGAACTACTGTATATAATCAGTATCACATTCACAATCATGCAGGAAAAAATACTCGTGTTATATTGCTAAACTATATCATATGATACAAGACGACAAACCCATACAGGGATTTTTTTTCGCTCATATCTTGAAATGAAAGATGACAGTACAGATCTGAGCTGTATTAATAATTTTAACATCATTTTCCCATAATTAATCGCACCAAATGAACATTAAATCGACAGTCCTAGTTTTAATACATTATTTTTAGTTGGCATTTGGCATGTAATGAGTGTGATGAGAAATCCCGTGTCCTTAATAGTAACAAATACCTAGTATTGTCCATCATACCACTTACTATTTCCAACAGTTGAATTTTTGTTTTTATTTCAGGCCAGCACTCGCTAACCCACAGCCGTGATGTCAGCACCATGGACACGCTCCCTCTCAACGACAACTTCAACAACAGCTACTCACAGCGAGAGGACGACTACGAGGACCCCGCGCTGTGCTGCCCGCCCGCTGACGCTCTGCGTCTGGATGACGCTGCCTTTGAGAAGATGATCATCTCCGAGCTGGTTCACAATAACCTGAGGCCTCGCCGGCCGCCGCAAAACCAATCCAGCTCAAAAACCCAACCGCCGTCCGACAGCAGCCACCGGGGTCCGCAGGAGACTTTCGACGGGGGTGTAGGGAATAGAAACCGGAGTGAAGATGATGCCACAGTTTCCGACACCTCCGCTTTACCGCCGTCCTCCAGCCACCCGGCGCTGGAGCTGCTTCTCCTTCACCCCAACGACCGGGAAGCCCTCGAGGTCCCGCTTTTGCCCCAACGAACTCACTCGCTCCTTTACAGCGCTCAAAAGGCCGCCAGGCGGCAGAAGGACAGCAGAAAGGCAGAAGACGATGAGGAAAGCGCGAAAGAGTTAGACGACGCACCCTCGCCGAATAACAGGGACTCGTTGTACACAAGCATGCCCAATCTCAGAGACTCTCAGTCCTCCGAATCCCCCGACCTTGTCAGCAGACAGGACGATGGTTCTCCTTGCTCATCCGCCCAAAGTGAAACTGAGGAACAATGCTACAAGAGCTTGCCCGACCTGGGAGACGGGACTCAACCGCTTTCCTACTATCAGATCAGCCGCCGAGGCACTAGCGAGGGCTGTATTGGCCCCGGGCTCCCCGAGGGCTGCCTTCCACTAGAGGAAGAACCGGCTAGCGAAGGACAGATGCAGCTAATCACCAGCCTCTGAGCCAAGAATGTTCCCTTTCCTTCATTTTCTTCTTTTGCTCCTCCCATCCACAGATGACACGAAGAGAGGACTAGTCAACCGCACAATCAATTGTTTTTTAGTAACAGAACTGATGGTCTAGTCAAACTCTCGAAGTGAGCGGAAAGTGTCAAGACTGGCATTGTCTACATCTGCCAAAAGATTTGTACAGTATATATATATATATAAAAAAAGAAACATGCCAATGTCTGATTTTTGTAGGACTTTGAAAACTCTCCCAGCCAGTTCGCAGGTGAATCTTACCTTCTTGGAAAGACTGTAATACAGGAAATGAAAAGAATGAATTAAAATCCCAGACTCAGGCCTTATATTTTCTCTATTGCACAAATAACTGTTGTACAAATGACAACTAAAGAAAATCTATTTTGCAGTACCAGGTGTAAAGAAAGCCAGTTCAACCCGTAATCACCACATCTCCACTTGAGAATGATGTGTTCAGTTATGGATTTTATCATGGAAGTTGTATTTTGCCAACGTAAATGTACAAAAAGGAGCTTCCTTATTTTTTTAGCTTAACGGAAGTTGTGTCTTGCACAAATTTGAAGTGAATTGGACTAATATGTAATTTGTTTTACTTAAAAAAAAAAAAAATGCTTTGACTTTGTCAGGGATCAATAACATTCATAGGTGTCAACACGATGTCTTAAGAACATATCTCAGTATTTGGCACTAAATAATTTATTATATGAAGTATGAAATAAAAAGGGTTGGCACGAAAGTGGGTGTGATGTAACACTGTTGATATTCACTTCAGTCTTTTTAAAGACCCCATTGTCGTTGCAGATGTACATTCAACTCTTGTTTGATATTGAATAAATGTGATGATTTTTTTCTTGTTTGCAGATATATCACTCTCATTCAGTGAAGCATCAAACTAGCCAAACAATCTTATTAGATGTCAGAATCAAAAATAACCTAAGATCTCTTCATAACTTGCCTGATGAGTTATTTGCAATATAAATAAATTGTTGCTAGTTATTTGTATTAATGTTTTTTTTATGTTTTAGCAAAACTTTGAAACTATTTGTAACCCATTTATGCTTCATTTTTATGGTGCCCTTCTATTTAATTAATTGACAGTACGTACTTACTATATGGTTAGAATTAGGATTAGGGTTTGGTTTTGGGTAATTGCATGTAATTATGCATAATTTGTTATTACTATCTTAAGAACATGTAACATGTTTAAAGGCAGGGTAGGTGATTTGTTTCAAAAAAATGTTTTTGTTATGCTGGTTGAAAGTCTCTTAACATCCCGATAGCACTCACTAAGTTCAGTGGTTTAAATGTATTTACATGCATTTATATAATCTGTGGATGGTGTAGGACTATAAAATAAAATGTTCGTCCAATCATATTCCTCGGTTTGAGAACTACAACAGAGTTATGTAAATAACATCAGGGAAAAAATATATTGTGGTCACAAATTGAGAATTAATTTAGTAAAATTGTGGCCACAAATTAAACAAAATGGGGGGAAAAAGACCTTGTTTCTTCCTGCATGTTGTGCATAGGTTAACAAATGCTTTTTTATCGTTAAGCCATTTTTTTATCGTTAGGCCATAAAAAATACTTAATGCAAATATGTGAAATCTTGGCAAACACATTGCAAGTGCAGCTGAACTTGCACTTGTATCACCGTGACGTAAAATGGGAATGAAGGAATGAGACACTGTGTCAGTAGCTGATACTTTGGACTGAAAACCCCAGAATTCTAAATGGAATCATTCAATTTTTTGAGGGATTAGTTAAACCTTTCTTCACAACACCTGGAAGCAAAGGGTGAAATGCCAAGAAAACATATGACTCTCCAACGCAAGCCATTTAGGTCAAAGCTTCAACCCCGCTGTGGGGAGCTTGGAATTTCAGGGAGAACTAAAGCAGATAATAAGTTTACTTCACTGATACAACTAAAGCCAGAAGTAAATTTCATTTGTCCACATTCCTTTCCAGCTTCAGGATTTTTGTCATCAGCTGATGTCCACGCAGACAGCATTGAATGAGAGCTTAAAAAGAAAGGTCTGCCTTTCATGGTGGAGTGTACTTTAAAGGTGCTGTATGTAGGATTGACACCGAGTGGTTGAACTAGGTATTGCAGTCCAAATTCAAAATATTGAAGAGGGTTTTTTTCTCCCGGCCCCTCCTCAGACTTGATGCACTCGCAGGTTGCCAGATTGACGACACCAACAGGAACGAGTGCACTTGACAATGACTGAAATGAAATAGCTGTGTTTTCCGCCAACTGGCAACCCGGGGTCCCGAAATACAATTGGGTAAACTGGCAGTGGGCGGGTTTCACAAACCAAAACAGAGACCGACATTCTGGTCCGGAACGCACATTTTCACAGGAGAATAACTGACTGTAGCATTGTTTTTCAAATAAACAACTATGTTAACTTTGCATGTTTCTTAAATATCTGCAAACATATTATGGTATTTTTAAGCTTCAGTAGAGTCAAAAACTTACAGCACCTTCAACCCCACTCCTGCAATTTTTGTGTCCAGTCCTGCCC